CACCATCACTTCCTCTGGGCTATTTGTTGGGTGATCGGATCTTTGTTACTTTCCAAGGGTTCTCGTAATTTATCTTTTCTTTCCACCTAATGTAGAGTATGTGGCGCAAACGTCTGTTTACGAAGGTTTTAGTTTGTTGGAGTGTTGTTGACTCTCTGTTTCGGGTCCGTAGAATTCACAAAACTTGTTGCATATGGACAGTGTTGTTGATCTTCCCACAGATTTGAGGCACGTTTTGCTTCACTAATCGTTGTTTTAATGTCTTTATTTGTCCACCAATGGCTAAGACAATACTGCCTAAGTATGTGAAGGAGTCTACGTCTTCAGGTCATGCTGTCCAAGGGTGATTAAACCATCTTGTTTCTTGTGAAGTCGCATGGCCGAACTCTTTAATATTGTCTATGTTCACCTATCTTTGTTGCTTTATTTGCCTGCTTATTCGTCTTGAGCTACTCGTATTTCTGGGACACAGGTCGTATAAGGAAAGTCAAGGCCTTCCAAAAACCGAGTAAAAGTTCACTGGATTCCTATCTGACCATCTCTTGTGGGTTCCAAAATGAATGATCCAGCCCACTAGGAAAACCATCGGTGACAGAAAAGACTAAAGAGCCTTGTCTCTCCCCTGCCTGAACCTCAAACGTTCCTGTATTAAGCTTACCACTGTGCATGACTTTGCATGTATCTTCATCAAATTATTTATTAATGTGGTCGGAGTTCAATAGTTCTTGAATAGGTTGCTGATAACTTTCTGTCAACACTATCAAAGTCAACTGCCACTCTAATGACTGTACAATAATCATGCAGAGATCAGCTATCTGGTCTGAGCAGGACTTGTCCTTTCCAAAGCTTGCCTGTTTTCAACGAATACATTCTTTTATGGCATTTTAAAACTTTCCTGTATTATTGTCGTCAGTGTCTCACTTGGAACAGAAAGGAGCATGATGCACAGTTCTTGCACTGTCCAAGGTATAATTTCTCGGTTCCGTGAAGCTTCAATAGATGTCCTTTTTCCCCATCGGCTGGTATCTTCCTTTCTGGCTACATTTTTATCAGAAGAGGTACTAGTAGTATCAAATTTGGTGAAATCTTTATTTTAGCATTGGGTGCTTCTGGAGGGATTCCAAAAGGATTAGCCCCCTTTCCACTCGATCTGCAGTTTCTTTAAAGTCTTGAAGGTTTCAATCTTTATGGGAGGGGTAGTGATCACTGTTAGTTCTGAATCTGTTGATCGTATATTTGGTGATGTTTCAGGTTTATAGCGGTTTAAGTTTCTGGGTGTTCTGTCCAACGCTTTGTCTGGTTTTCTTCCTTTGTGATGGGGTTACCTGCCTCGTCTTTTACTGGCTTGGCCTATTGCCATCATGAGTTCTTGTGATTTTGTACAGAGTGCTGTTTTCTCTGTTCTTCTGCACTTCCCCGGCTACTGTGGCTAGTGAATTATAAAAGAGTCTCTTATCTCCTTGCAATTTCTTTTCTTTGTTGTTCAGTATAGTGGGCCTGTCTTTAAATTCTTGGATTCTTTTGCTCATCCTTGCAGTTGAAAATCTGAAATTTGAAAAGATGTCTTTCTTCTCTTAGTTTCCATGTGCACGCAGAAAGCCACTCATTGTCTTGTTTTCTCCAGGATCTCTTCACATGTGTTTTTCTAGCTGTATTTGGTGGAATTCTAGTGATCTCCCAGAGGTGTCTTTTGACAGACAGTGTTAAAGACATTGAATCTATTTTTCAAGGTGATGGCAAAGTTATCTTTGGTGTCTTTTTGCTGAGTATTAAATTTAACGTGAGCTGTTTCACAGTTCTCCATTTGAATTTAGGTTTTCAACTTGACTTTAATGGTGCTTACTGTTAGGGGGTCTGAAGCTACATCTGTCCCTCTTTTTGATCGTATTTCATTGAGGCTGCGTTTCCACTTTCTAGTAATGAATTCTACAGTGTATTTGGTTTCTGATTTTTCCATTAGAGAAAACCAGTTTCTCTTTGTAAATGTTTTTTTTTTGCGTTGATAGACATTTCCTCTAAATACAAGATCGTCAAATGCCCAAACATACGTGGAAAAAAACTCTCCGCACTCATTTATGTAGCAAAGTTCCAATGGGTCTATGATGACGACTTTTCCCCTGAATTATCTGCACTTACCTTGACATTCACGTCATCCTTCGAGACTTTCATGTCACGTCTTGGAGCCTTGACCACTGTTGTCTGCAGTTTTGTGTAATTATCTTTTTTCTCTTCATCTGCAGTTTTTGTAGGTGAGTAGTGTTACTTCTCTTTCTTTGGAATAGAATCTTGTCATTTTCATTGTTGATGAAATTATTTCTCATTCCATAAGTGCATTAATTGGCTAAATCTGAGGACATTATGAAGACAACTCCGTCAGTGTGTTTGCAGTTTTCATGTGCATGTCTGGAGATCTTTTCTCCGATAGTTCGTGAAGACATACTGGTTACATTCCATCTGCTTTCAGACATTCTTAGTACCGGCAGTTGGACGCTCTCCACATCTCTTTTGGTACTCGGGATACCTTTCCAGTTTGAAAAACCCAGGTATAGGCAGTACATTTATATGGTTCACACTGTCGAAGTTCCTATCCTTGTTTTTGCTTTCATCGCACAGGCTTTGAGATGACTGATTTTCATACGGCTTTTACGACTCTGCGTTATACGACCTCTAAGTGAGGATTCTTCCGGAATTGGGCGTTGGATTGCACTATTTTTTGTAGTATTAAGAATTCTACATTATAAGGCTGCTAATCTTACATGTATGTAAAACTCCTTGGGCCCGGAAGACTGGCGGTTATCTGTTGGGGGTTTCCTTCCCCTAGTCACAGGTTCCAGTTACTTAACGGGTCGGATACTTTTGCCACTGTTACGCAACTACTTAAAGCATTTCCAGGGAAATCACAAGGAGCTGTGATATGTGACTAGCTGGTAAAACTAATCTGAGCAGGTGGGTATTAACTCGGGGATTTTATGATGTAATTTAGTGACATCGGTTACACCTTTAACAGCATTTGACTTGGCTCGAAAATCTGGTGTATTCTCGGATCTTGTCACGATTTTTATATTTTCATCTACATTACTTCAGGATTCATCCACACAAGTTTCAGCTTTGACACCCGGAGGTAGGGCGGAACTACAATAAGGAATTGGTTTTATATCGAAATATTAGAAAAAAAAATTAAAAATATTCTTTCACCGGCTCAAAAAAGCTGAAACATGTGGATGTAACCTGAAGTAGTGAAGATTCTAAATTGTTCAAATCGTGACTCCCAGGCGATAGGACCACAATAGGGAATCCAAGTTTTACATAGAAATATAAAGGAAAAATCCTTACAAATCTTCTACACAAGAAACACCGGGCCAGGAAAGCTGCATGAAACTTAAGTGGATGTATCCTGGATTAATGTAGCTCTCCGAAAAAAAATACAGTATGTTGACAGACCGGAGAGCTACAGTGCCACCCATTGTAAAAACTGTATATTTATTGCGCACAAAAAGTTGCGCTTAGTTCTGTATTTATTTTTCCAAATATTTACCTCAATCGCGGAAAAGATGGATTTCAAAAAATTCCTTACTCCTCTATAAAGTTCTCTCGAAGTTGAGATCTGCACGAAGAGCGTTGGCCCGATTTATCTTGCAAACCAAAATGGCAGTATAAATAAACGAAATTTTCTATGATCTCAGTTTCAGGGGCCAGGAGGGCTATTAACAACAAATATAAGGAATTTTTTGTTGTGGAAACAGTGAAAGAATATGTTAGGAACACACGATTAGTTATATTTTGAGATGACAGTTTAAAAACATAGAGAAATGAATCGAGAAACAGCGCACTTTTTTATGCGCAATATACAGTTTTTTAATGGGTGGCAATGTAGCTCTCCGGTCTGTCAATTTTTATCCGGAGAGCTACAGTTCTGCAGCTAGGATCAATGTAGATTCTGAATTGTTCAAATAGATAACCCCTTGAGGAAGACCGAGGCCACAAAGTTTTACATTGAAATATATAGGTAAAAAGTTAAAAAAAAAACCAGGATGTGTTTGTGAAACACTGATGCCCCCGTGTGGCAGCATAGCGAAGGTTAAACATTCTCAAATGCAAATCAAATATGTTGGTACCCAAAGTAAGGCCTTCTCACAAAAATACAATATTAAAAAATGTAAGGCCTGGTACCACCTATTCAAAAGTTGAGATCAAGGTTATTATTTTTTTAAAGATAGATCAAAATCCAGGGTCAAGGTCAAAGATGTCGGTTTTTCAAGAAAGGTCTTCTCACAAGGATTACATGTGTGAAGTATGAAATCCCTAGCTCTCACCATACAAAAGTTATGGCCAAGGTTAAAGTTTTTTTTTTTTTAAAAGTAGGCCAAACTCCAAGGTCAAAGGGTCAAAGTATCCAATCAAAGGTCTTGTCACAAGGATTGAATATGTGAAGTATGAAGCTAGCCCTTCCAAAATTGTGGTCAAGGTTTGTTTTTATAAAGTAGGTCAAACTCCAAGGTCAAGGTAAAGGGTCAAAGTTCTTGGAAAGGTCTTTTTACAAGGATTGCGTAATATGTATAGTATGAAAGCCCTTGCCCTTACCATTCTAAAGTTATGACCAAGGTTTTTTTTAAGTACATAAATCTCCAAGGTCAAAAGGTCAAAGTTGTTGGTTTCCAATAAAAGGTCTTGTTACAAAAAAATCATATGTGAAGTATGAAAGTCCTGGTTTCTACAGTTCAAGAGACATGGCCGATATAAAACTTTGTGTTAAAGTGTGTCAAACTCCAAGGTCAAGGTCAAATTTTGTGGTACCAAAAGACTTCGATTAGGTCTACATGTATACGCCGTAAAAAACTTCAACTCATGAACCATGCAATTGACCAGAATAACTGAAACTTATGTGGATGCATCCTGGAGTATATTTGTGTATGCCTCCGGTTGTTCCCGTTTTCGATTCCGTTCATCAACCGAATAGGCCTATTAAAATGCTAAATGCGTCAAGGCTCCCGCCAACCTTTGATCCGCCCAATTTCTAGATCCTTCGGTGCACATTTGGCTTTATCCCAACGTCTGTTTAGTCCATCGAAACTACGTTGTTTGTTAAATTTTTTTGGCTTGGAGTGATTGCTGATACAAGACGGGAGGTAAAAATTGCAATTCTCTTGTCAAAAAACTTGCACTTCCATGTGCAATTACTATATTATGATTAGAATTAATTTATAAGAGTATGCCGAAATGTTTGACTCGCATTTCCTCTGTAAATGCAGACGCTGTCTTGCACCCAGACTGTCAGTCACTTGAAACGTAAATAGCATGTATTTTTTTTGTTTTGAGAATGTTATTATCTTTTTTTCTTGAATTTGGAGTTCATAAAAATAAACATAAGCCATGTCAGCTTCTATAATTATTTTATTTGGTAAAATTTCCCCAATATTTTTTTTTTGTTTACAGATCGAACCTTAAAAATTTTTGTAGATCCTCCGAAATGGATGTGTGACTTCCATCCACTTGTGTACTGTTGCATGGTATGGCTGTCAAAAGGGTACTGAAAAGAACTCTTTTACTTACAGGACTGGTGACCGTGTTCAGAACTATGGCGTGGCGCTCCAGCGGCAAAACTAATGTGGACCTTATTGACAATCTTGCAAGTATGTACTGTAGTTTTACTGTTAGAAAAATGCATTATTTTATAGGACCTCAGGCTTCAGTCACAACCCAAGGACAGGTCTTTATCTCTCTGTACTACTTGCCCTCAGAATTTGTTTTCATAGGATAGATACATTTACATTAGGGATGGCAATCGATTGCAGAATTGCTAATTGGTTAACCGCAAAACGTTTAGACTGATTAACCAGTTAGTCATGTCAAGATATATAAACATTTTGACATTTTCTTTTCATATACACAAGAAGGCTAAAAAAAGCGTTAATAGCTACAATTCTGTTTTTTATTTTGATTTGGGAATTTTAAGTACATATGAGTATATTTTAATTTAATTTCAGTAGACAAGAAAAAAAATAAGAAAACCATGAATCCTGGTTGAGAAATCAGACAGGAATAATTTTCCAACGCATTAATGAATAACTTTTATGTCGCCCCGAAGTGGGGGCGACATATTGCGTCTGTATGCAATTTTTTTGTTCTCTGGGCTGTTTCTCGGAGATGGCTGGGACAATCTTTCTGAAACTTTCCTCAAAGGACGATCACTGGTTGTAGTTGTGTGGTCAGTCAGTTTCAAAATGGCTACTGTTACCATGGAAACCTGCAAAAAGCGACGAATTTTGTCCGCGAGTGTTATCTCTGATCCCTTGAACATTCGACATGAAACTTTATTGATTTACTGATAAGGATCTGTCATTGTGCGCTTTGCATTTAAAAATTGCAAATTGTCAATAGTTGCCATGGAAACAGGGGAAAAGTGAAAATTCTTTAAATTTGATTTTTAGATCAAAGTACCAAAAGTACTGATGTCCAAGCTTAGCTAATGGGTATTGTTTTAGTGATGAAAAAATGAAAGTCTTGTCCAGTTCGGGGCGACATATGCTATTGCTTGCAATAGCCAACTTTCTAGTTTACTTTGTTTGTATAATAATATAATTTAACAAATAACGGCCAAATGTAGACATACTATAATTAAAAGTGGTTATCTTTTTATATCATTAAAAACACAGAACTATCTGATGTTTAAAAACGGTAATAATTAACACTTTACGCACTGATCAATTACTCCTGCGATCTCAATCTGGAGAGCTATAATTACCTCCAAATATTCTTAATTACAAGATGTGTGAAAACACTAAATAAACATCCATGCAGATGTTTCCTCTAGTATAAAAAAAAGGAACTTTTAGGAAACTGCGTTTAAATTTACGTATTTTTTATTTTTTCTGACTAACCGATTAGGATTGTTCTGATCGATTAATCGATTAACCGGTTACAAATTGCCATCCCTAATTTATATATATAACCTTACATTTCAATGCGTTGCATTGATTTTGGCATGGATCTGATAACTTATTCCAAAATGAATCACTGTATCTCAATCTTTTTTCTATAGAGAATGATATTTTAAAGACTCCACGTGTCATAGATGTTATGAAGAAAGTCGACAGAGGCCATTTTGCCAAGTTCAATCCCTATAATGATTCTCCTCAGACCATTGGATACCATGTGACCATCAGCGCCCCACACATGGTATGGATAATTTAATGGAAAGTTAAAAGAACTTTTTAGCTTACCTGAGCTGAAGGCTCAAGTGAACTTTTCTGATCAAAATTTGTCCGTTGTCTGTCGTTGGCGTCGTTGTTGTTGTAAATTTTTCACATCTTCATCTTCTTCTTAAGAACCACTGGACCAATTTCAACCAAACTTGCTACAAAGTATCCTTGGGCAAAGAGGATTCAAATTTATTCAAATGAAGGGCAGAAGGGGAGATAATTATACATTAGTGAAAAATTAATGGCATTCTTAAAAATCTTCTCAAGAACCATTGGGCCAGAAAAGATGAAACTCATGTTGAATCATCCTCAGGTAGTGTACATTCAAGTTTGTTCAAATCATGACCCTGAGGTAGGGTGGGGCCACAATGGCCGATCCAAGTTTTACATAGGAATATATAAGAAAAATCTTTAAAAATCTTCTTCTCAAGAATCATTGGGAGGGAAAGATGAAACTCATGTTGAATCATCCTCAGGTAGTGTACATTCAAGTTTGTTCAAATCATGACCCCCGGGGGTAGGGTGGGACCAAAATGGCTGATTAAAGTTTTTTATAGGAATATATAGGGAAATCTTTAAAAAATTTCTTCTCAAGTACTGCAAAGCCATGATTACGGTAGTGATATTTATATGGAAGCATCCTCAGGTAGTGTAAATACTAGTTTGTTCAAATCATAACCTCCAGGGATAGGGTGGGGCTACAATGGGGGTAGGGAGGGAAAAAATGGGGAGTTAAATTCAAATCATTACAAAGTAATATATATACTGTAGACGTACTTTTTTCCATGGGTTCATAATTCCGCGGAATCTCAATTTCTGTTTAATCCGCGTGGAGAAAATTTCGCGGATTTTCTAGATTGTCACTATATGCCTTACATTTATATCAAGTACGCTTGGACAAACTTCCGCGGAAAATTTGTGACCGCGTACATAGCGTAAATTAATACCACGCGGAAAAAAGTACTTTTACAGTAAACAAAATGTTAAGGCCATAATAAAAATATTCCTAGATTCTCATCCCCGCCCGCCCCGATTTTATACCCCCGCCTCGATTTTTTTATTTCTGTTTTCTTCGTCTTAATTCTGATCGGGATCGGTATTCATCTACCATTCTACTTTCGTTTTAAATCCTGCGAAAGTCGACATGATTTTGACAGCTGAAAAGATAGTAATTGCTGTAATACATGCGTATATATTTTAAACAAGGGTCATTGGTTGAAAAAGATTGGTGATGATGTGAAGTAAGAGATATTTGAACCTTTAATATGACTTTTATTCGGGTATTGTAGATAAGATTACACCGATTGAAAAGGTCAATAAAAAATCTGCTAAATTGAAAAAATAAAAAATATAAAATAAAAGCCGCCCGCCCGCCTCGATTTTTAAAAAAATTTGGATGAGAATCTAGCAATTTATTTATCATGGCCTAAAAAAAATCTTTAAAAATCTTTTTCTCAAGAACTCTCTCAAGAAGTTGTATGCAGTATTGATATGGAGGCATTCTCAAGTAGTATAAGAATTCAAGCCCCCTCCCCCCACCCCCTCGTTAAACTTTTCAATTTGGATCTGATTTGTGGTTTTTCCTAGCTCAGGTGAGTGATGTGGCCCCTAGGCCTATTGTTACTAATCATACCAATGTGAATGACATTTCATCTAACTTATAATGAGTTTTAACTAAAATGGGTCAAAGAATTGTTGTCCCAAGTAAAGTTTGGTGAAATTAAAAATGATATTTTTGTCTCTGTCTTTCGGTCAAACTATAACATCCGGAATCTTTTGAATGTTAAATGGATAGATTGTATTTTAGTTGATATTTTTGATACAAAATGATTGTTCAACTTTTGATAAGCCTAAAATATTCCTTGGTTACTGATGAACGTCACCTAATTTCATCTTTTCAGGAATATTTCGTATTGTCAATGTAAAATTTGCTTTTCAAAAATCACTAGAGGTAGGATATGATATGTAGTTATTGTTGTCAAAATAGGTTAGATGTATTGTACATATTGTAATACAATGTATAACACTATAATAACTTCAAATTTCTTTGAAAATTATTTAGCTGTAAAAGTTGACTGCTTCTTGTTATATAAGTACATGTGTATTAAAGATATGTGTGTTAGTTTTACATTTTATTTTTTGGTATAAAATTGATACAGATTGTAAACACAGGAGTTTTGATGCTAACTTTTTTAAATGTATAAATTATGTGTCTCTTCAGCATGCCCACGCCTTAGAACTTCTATCAGATCACCTGGCAGAAGGAAAGAGAGCACTGGATGTGGGATCAGGGAGTGGTTACCTCACCGCCTGCATGGCCTTACTGGTAGGTACTGTATACTGTAAACCAACTTTTATTCGCAACAACTTTATTTCGTGATGAACCGGGGTAAACTAGTTAGCGATGATAAATTTTCGCAATCAAGCTTTTCTAATCCCTCAAATTTTTTAAAGTGATCTAAAGGCCTGTGCTGTCAAATGGAAATAATGGGAGAAAAAAACTCACCTTTTTCAAAAATTTTCTCAAGAATAGCAGGACCACAATAAGTCATATATATAAATGTTTAATTTAAATATGTAGTTAAGATTCAAGGCTGTTAAAATCAAGATCCAAAGGGTTGTTATAGTTAGGAACATTTTTATTAAGAAACAAACTTTTGCAAGTTTACAATTATCAGGACTCATAATCTGTAAATAAAAAAAGCATAAGAATTCTTTTCTAGGTGGGACCCACTGGAAGGGCTGTAGGCATTGATCATATTCCAGAATTGGTGTCAGAATCCATTGTGAATATCAAAAAAGATCCCAAATTAATCCCACTGCTAGAGTCTGGACAGATGAAACTTGTTGCTGGGGATGGGAGACAGGGGTATGCGGAGGACGCCCCTTATGATGCCATACATGTAGGGGCAGCTGCGGCAACTCTACCCCAGGCTGTAAGTATGGAAGTTTGTCAAAGGTCAAGGTCAGAAATTCATATTTTGAAAATATTACTTACAGATAAGAACTTAAGTTTTTGTTTGAACTTTCTTCATTAAAATTTAGTGTAATAACTGTCATAAAGAAGAATTCTATTGATTTTTGGGTCAAGAGGTCAAAGGTCAAGATCACAATAGGAACACCAAATTTCAAATAAATGTGGCTCAACTGCATTCAAATGATAGAAGTAAATTTTTTTTACAAGTGTTAAAAATCTTAGAGCCAAATAATTTTGCTAAGTTTAAACCATATTCAGACGAGAAATTTTTTCAATGCTGGAATGCTGGAATTGTGTTTCTTTTGTAGCTGATTGATCAGCTGGCCCCAGGAGGGAGGCTAGTCATTCCTGTGGGGCCCGAAGGGGAGAGTCAGATGTTACAACAGTATGATAAAGGAATGGATGGCACAGTCACCAGGAGGAACCTGATGGGGGTCATTTACGTGCCACTCACTAGCAAGGACAAGCAAGTTTCCAGGTGGAAATGAATCATCTTTTTTGCATGATGGAATCCTTTCTTTTTAGGTGCTTATGAAACTTGCAATTTTTTCTACTGCATTCCCTCACAAACATAACCTGTATCCTTGATTAACTCTCCCCTTTCCTTCACAATGATATTTTGTGGGATTGTGGGTACATATTATTTTTGAACTGCATCTGAAATAATAATTATGGATGTAGTAGCTACTGTGTGTTTGATTTAATCATTAATTAAGTCAACAAAGAAAAATATCCAGAGACCTGGGGTCCAGTTGGCCCCTTTTGATTTGTAGCTCTACTTGTCAGAAACCAGAGGAGCATATGCTATAGTAAGGTGTCCATTGTCCGTCTCCAACCATCTGTAAACAATTTTGTTGACTTAAGCGTCCGGATATCTGAAGGTCCACTGTATATTTGTGTAGTCCACTTTGTTTATTAAAGTATTAAAATATACTGATATAAAGCAACATTCTTTAATATTTTCAATGGTATAAAAGCTATTAAACTAAAATCAAGGAAATTCAGGTATCCGGATGCTTCACATATCTAGACACATTGACTGGGAACAAACGTATCCTGATAAATGAGGCTCCAGTGTATATGTATATTGATCTATTTATCAGTTTTTGAATTTTATATGAAAGCACAGGTGCTTGAGGACAGGACCCCCCCCCCCCCCCCAGTCTTTTTTCACCTAAATTATATATTAGATAACACGTTTGTGATATAATCTTTTCTAAATTCAGAAAATTTGCTTAAACAAACATTTAATAAAATTTTCTACCCCACTCTATATATATACAATGTATGAAATACTTTTGTACTCGGCTTCGCTTCGCCCAATATGGATTTCACACCCTGTATGACAACACTGACTGTGTAACTAATAGTACATAAGTCGGTCCGCCTATAAGTGAGTTGTATTTTTTGTTGTTATTTTTTAGGTATTTGACATTGACCCACTTAAATATTGATATTTCATATCAATGATGTGATGTTTTAACCTAGCTTCGGTCAATATTTCTTTTTAAAATAACCTGGATATTTGATTATAAATCATTTAAAGATAAGTAATACACACCGAAGATTGAAAAAAAGTATAAAAAATTTATAGATATTTATACTTTATGCATAATCCTAAAATAAATAAATAAATGAATTAATATATTAAGACTGTGTCTACCAATAAATTTTGGGATAGTTTAAAAAATACTACAAGTACCTTTGGTAGTCCTGGGGCCTGGGGGTGGGGCAAAAACCACTAAAATTAATGCAATCTTTAAAAATCTATTTTTTACTCCTGGACATGAAGCAGTTATTAAAACTGTTGGTTAATTGTAATCAGTATTGAGTCCTCTTCCAAAATTGTGAAATTCATGGCCCCCGGGTCAGGGGTTATAGTGCTAGGGCGGAGCTAAACAGGTTATATAGTGAAAATGCATTATTTCTTTGAAATTCTTCTTTTCTGCTCCTGGGCATTAGATAAACTAAGCAAGTGCATAGGTAAGTTGAAAATGACCGCCTTTTCCAAAATTGTGAATTTCATGGCCCCAGGGTCAGGGGTTCTAGTGCTAGGGCAGGGCTCTATAGATTATATAGTGAAAATGCATAAATTCTTTGAAATTCTTCTTTTCTGTTTGTGGGCATTAAATAAACTAACCAAGTGCATAGTTATGTTGAATAAGACTGCCTCTTCTCAAATTGTGAATTTAATGGACCCAGAGTCGGGGGTTCTAGTGGTAGGGTGGGGCTATATAGATTATATAGTGAAAATGCAAAAATTCTTTGAAATTCTTCTCAACAAAGTGCATAGCTATGTTGAATAAGGCTGCCTCTTCCAAAATTGTGAATTTCATGGCCCCAGGGTCAGGGGTTCTAGTGCTAGGGCGGGGCTATATAGATTATGTAGTAAATCAAAGTACTCAGAAGTACAGAGAGCCGGGTTCATTTACAGAGTAGAATGGATTTCTTACATGAATCACGTTTATATACTGATGAAAAAATTATTTTAAAACTATCAATATAAATGATAAGACACTGACAGTGAGTTTTTCAATCCTAATACCACGGTCCGATTTTGTCAGAATCAGAATTAATCTGGTACCGCAGCTGAATGTAAACAAACAGGCCAGTCTGGTTCCCTCTCCTGCTTTACCTCGTATGTGTAGAGAACTACGGTAACACTGATTATCAAAAATCCTTACGCTAATGAACTATGTTCTTTGACTTATGAAGTTTTCAAAGTCATTACAACTAATGTTTATTTTATATAGATAAAACTTCGTTTTATTTTTGTTGCTTTATTTGGCATTTGTATTATCTCAAAAGCGGTTGAGAGTAAGAACTATATTTTTGCACGTAACTTTAAAATGGCGACTATGGGGTCAACATCCTGCCTTGAACAGGATCACATAAGCCGGCAATTGCTCTTTGAGCAATAAGCCCGGCTAAAAATGAATTTTTTCTTTGAAAATCTTCCTCTTTGCTCTTGAGTATTAAATAAACTAACCAAGTACATAGTTATGTTGAATAAGGCTACTACCTCTTCCAAAATTGTGAATTTCATGGCCCCTGGGTTGGGGTTCTGGTGTTAGGGCGGGGCTTTATTGATTATATAGTGAAAATGCATAAATTCTTTAAAACTCTTTTCTGCACCTGAGTATTTAACCAATGAACTATGCACATAGTTATAATGAGGAAGGATGCCTCTTTGAGATTTTTGAATTTCAGGGTCCCTGGGTTAGGGCTTCTTGTGTTAGGGCAGGGCTCTAATGTTTATATAGAGAAAATGCATGAATTCTTTGAAAATCTTTTCCTTTGTTGTTGGGTATAATGCCAATGATCTTAGTATATATTTATGACAAAAAAACTGCTTCTTCCAAAAATAGTTAACTTCCTGGCTCCTGGGACAGAGGTATTTTGAAAGGGGGGGGGGGGGGTAACATAGTCTGAAATAATTTAATGCTTTGAAATCTGCACTTTGGTATTAATCAACAGCATAATGTAATAAGATTTTTAAAAATTCTAAAATTTTGAAAGATGTAGCCCCAGGGTCAGTGGTTCCTATGGGATGGGGAGCTCAACTGTGGACCTGCCCTAACACAAGAAGCCCTGACCCAGGGGCCCAGAAATTCACTAAAAGTGGAAATGCATTTTCTCTTTGTTACTCTGATCTACCTGGCTACCCCTGGGTATAAGTAACCAAAATAAGCATGCCGAGTGTATAATTATGATAAGCAATGGTGCCTCTTTCAAAAGTGTGAATTTCATGGCCTTTAGTTTAAAACATGAATCAAATTCAATTGTTGGAAAGTTGTGGCATGATACTCAGGTGACCTATAAGGCCCATGGGCCTCTTGTTTTTATTTTGATGAATGGTGTTGCCATGGTTACTAAACTTGAAAAATTCTGTTTATTTTTTTAAAGGCTTTTCTTCATACAGTTTGATTATGTTTGTGATAAATTTTGACACAAGTAGAGAATAAAAAAAGGATCATTATTCTATTTTAATATTGCTCAATGGCGTTGCAAAGTTTCAAGTGCAACCATTTTCTATCTTTGTTATCAGTTCAAGCCAGTAGAGCTACAGTCTTATCAGAAATTTCTGGTTGATATTTTATAAAAGTTGGTGCTTCGCTTTTTCATGTAAAGATTAATGATCCTAGTGAAATCAACTGACTTGTAATGAAGTTCTGCATGAACTCCAGACCTGTTTACTCTTACAATTTCGGCGTATTTTATACGGATTTTTAGTACAAAATACGTCTCACGTTATGATGTTATGA